ATTAGTTTTCAGGTGTTTTCCCTATTCCCCCTTTTCCCTTCCTTCCAAAGAAAGAGTAACGAACAAAGTCCGGGCTGAGCACTGCCAAGGTGGTAGCATTTGCCTGGCTGTCTCGCTCCTCATGCTGTACTGCACAGCTTAGCTAGGCATGGAGAAAAGCTGCTGTCGGCCACATGGCTGTCCTCCTACCCTAGGGTAAAACAATTATTTGTTAGTTAAGATCTGTTCATGACAAATTTCTGCTGCTTGTTTTCACAAGACTCAGTAAAGGCAAGTCCTGTGTCATCAGTCAGTTCTGGCCCCCGTGTGCTCTTGTGTCCTCTGCAGGCAGATCTTCTTTTTCTTACTCTTTTGCACTAGAGCTGAGGAGGCTGGAGGTGACCAAAGCTGAAGAAGGTTTTTGTCGCCCTTACCTCTCCAGAAAGTCAGCTGCCCGATACGAGGCAGCAGTATGGAGAGGTATGATTTTTCATGCATGGAAAAGTAATAGTAAAAGAAGGTTTTACCCTTTACCCATGAGGAGTGGCGAACTAGGAGAAGGGCATGGCAGAGTAATCCTGTAATCCTCTCCAGATTTCTAATGGGAGACGTTTTGTCCTAAAGATCAGCACAGTCATAGAAATAATGCAGAGTAATCAGTCTCATCTTCTCCCAGCCCCCATCCTTGCTCCTGGCTATTAGCAAATTAACAAAATCTTCCCAAGCTTTTGCATGAGACTTACTGTGTCATTACTTTAAAAAAAAAAAAGAAGGAAAAAAAAAAGGTTAATCTCTGCCTCACTTCTTATCATTCCCTATCTTCGCCCCCTTTGTTATTACCAGTGAGTCATACTTCACCTTTTCCTTAGTCTGCATCTCCCACACTCACTCCTCTACTGGCTTTCCTGCCACCCCTTGCTCCTGGAGTGAATTATCTGCTCCTTTGCACAAGAAGTTTCAGTTTCCAAAACCATATTTTAAATTCAGATCTTACACAGGGTTGCATCCTATTGTCCTGAAAATAGAGATGGTCCTTATTTCCTCCCTATGTGAGCACTGCTGATAAAAATGGAGATTTTTGTGCCCTTCTTTTTTTTAACAGTTCATTACTATGCATACTGACAAGGCATTGGCAAAGATTCGGTTTAGCTGATTAACTGATTCAGTACAAACACCACATTTAATGGAAAAAAAAAAAGTATTTGTGATAGATGTGCCCAGAACATAAATACTGAATTCCTGGGAGCACATACTCATTTTGGATTTGCAGCTTGTCTCATAATTTAGATGTGGGTTTTCATCTGGGTAGTAAGCTTCAAAGCAGGGGAAAATCATGGGACAAACTGTTGCTTTAATCACAGTTAGACTCACTGCTAAAACTTAATTTGCAAGAACATTTGCTGCAATATGAGAGCAATGCTGTAACATGGGAAATAATACAAATGCACTTTTTTGGGAATAAAGTAAAATCAAGGGAAAAAACAATGCTGGAGGAATGCTACTGTTAGGGATGCTAACGATGTGTGCAAAATCCGTAAGAACAGAACCAGTTTAAGAGAGTTGTAGAATCACAGAATGGTTTGGGTTGGAAGGGACCTTTGAAGGTCATCTAGTCCAACCTCCCCTGCAATGAGCAGGGACATCTTCAACTAGATGAGGCTGCTGAGAGCCCTGTCCAGCCTGACCTTGAATGTTTCCAGGGATGGGGCATCTACCACCTCTCTGGGCAACCTGTTCCAGTGTTTCACCACCCTCATGGTAAAAAATTTCTTCCTTACATCGAGGCTTAGTTTAAAACCATTATCCTTTGTCCTGTCGCAACAGGCCCTGCTAAAAAGTCTGTCCCCAAACATGAGAATAGTTCTCCAAATGCATCACTGAGTCTGTTGTGGGATTCAGCTGATTTTGTGATCATCATTAAGTAGGAAAATCAGTTGTCACTCATCATTAAATACCTATAGCATTACTTACTCAATCAGTGAGACAGATGAAATGATGTTGAGAATATTTCAAGTTTTTGTCATCATTCATTCATACTGTTCTAAAAGTACGCTGAAGCAAGGAACATGTTTGTGAAGTTCTCTTCATAGCATTAGTTTGGGATATTCCTCATCTTTTAGTCTGAAATTGGGCACCTGAGGGTTATTTGTGAAATTCTGCCTTCCAAGTGAGTGAGTATATACATTTCATTTTAAATGCATGTTGCAGAGAAATTGTGACTACCTTTTGGATAGTTAAAACAGGTATAGTATAGTGGATGTGTGCTCACATGTATGGTCCTAATTAAGCAAAAGTACTTGGGGTCTGGTGCAAGAGGTTCTGCTGTTCTGTGTTTCTTCATGATGCCAATAATCATGAACATGTTACCAGTGTGAATGGGAACATTAGTGATATAAGCCTCAAGTTACACAGTTCTTCCTTCTGTATATCACGCTTGGTCATACGATGGCCATTGTCCGATCATATGACCTGGGATGTTGTGCTGCATACACTAGACAGCTGGAGTGGGAGCTTCAGCCTCCTAATCCTGCCTGGAAAAATGCATCCTTGTCTAGAAGTAGTATTCCATGCAAATAGGAATTTACTTCTGTGGCGTTAATTTTCAAGGAGCTGATATGATGATGATGATGATGATGATGATGATGATGATGATGATGATGATGATTTGGCCACAGTATTTCTTTGGTCAGATCGGTTTCCTATCCTAGCCATCTATGCTGCCACCACAAAGGGATGGAAATACGCGGCCAGGGATGTGGGGAGTTGAGACTCCCACGTCTGGCAGCAGGCATCTCTTTGCTTGGCTTAAAAGGACTGGGGAAATGCACTTCTAGTGACTGATGTCTTCAGCACCAACCAAGCTAATTTTATTTGGGCAATTAACATGTCCCAGAGGACTTAATATGAGCCTGGTGCCAGCTAGTCTGAGACTTACTTGTGTTCAGTTATGTCTCAGTAAAGATATGAGAAATTCCAGTGATCAGTTAAGAGACTGCTGAACTGATCAGATCTGAGACGCTAACTCAGTTGGCCCTTGCTTGCTCCAAGATATGGAGGCCTAATTTTTCACAATTAACAGTCACTGAATGTTTTGTTAACATAGGCAAAACTGTTTGCTTTGGTTTTCCTCTTCCACTCAATCTGATTTGCAGAACCGTCCAGAGAATATTATTAGCTCTGTCTTTCCAAACAAAACAATAGTACAAGGAGTTTCAGTCTGATCAGTTAAAACTCGGGAGGGTTTTTAACTGGTTGCAAGGTCCTAACATGGAAAGTGGCCGGCAACCATAGTTTTTCTGCTTCTGGGCTGTCACGTTCATAGCACATCATCAGTCTTTGTTCTCTTGAGTTGGAGATGATCTTGTGGTACGAATCCAGAAGTAATCTCGCGGATTGTTTTACATTCTGTGTAAAAATGAAAAGAGTGCTACAGCTTTTGAAGACACAGGTTTGTATTGTTAGGACAGTCACCTGCTTTCTAGGCTGGGAACACCACTCATCCCAGAGATGAGGGTATGTGTCTTTCCAGCCTACACATCATGACAGCATTTGGTTTCCTCCTATTTGTTGTTGCTCAGGGTAGAAGCAGTGTTTCATGGCTCTAAAGGACTTCTTAACCTTGGGAGGCTGAGGAGGAATTGCACCTAAGGTTTCTTTGCCTGGTGAAGACTCTGTGTGAGACCCTTGTAACTAGAGATAATGGGGAAAATACAGGAGTCTTCATTTGTGTTCAGTCCTACCATTCCCTGCTCCTCAAAACCAGCACCAGAATCTGAAAAATGAGGCCTCTCAGGTGGTGCTTGCACAGCTGCTGATGTCTGAAAGGCTTTGGAGTTGGATCCTGCGTCGAATACAGCCCTCTCAAGGATGTAAGCCAAAATTAGACAGCTCATAATGAACAAGGAAACTGTGATTAATGGTCTTCCATGTGCCTAAGCTTCCCTGCGAAAAAATACATGGATTTCTTCCAGATAAATGTAGGAGCTCATTTAATTTAAAATGTGTTTTATAAAGATATAATGACTACTGTTGAACACTTTCAGGATGCATATATTATATGATGTACTCCAAAAGCAGTTGGAGTTGGCTTGCTGTGAACAATGGTACTGCTCTGGAGAAGGTAGTTTTGGCATGTACCTTTGAAATGAACTGAATTCTGCTGCCTAGTGCACCCCTGAGTTTTATTTAGAAATAAAGCTCTGTGTGCTACCCTCAAAGGTAATTTTTGTCTCCCTTTGAAAAGTTTCCATGCTTAACTGTCTCTTTCTGGGGCAATTAAACCAATCTTGTAGGTAGCAGCCTCCTTCCTCCAGCACTGCATGACTCATGCCATCGTGGCTGCTCATCTCAGGTGCAGAATCTTGTGAAATGCATTTTTCACTATCTAAATGTATGACATCCCCTGATTTTGCCTTATCTGCTATGACAGTAGTATCTTCTTGAAATGCCAGCAGGTTGGTTAAGCAATACTTCCCAGGCCTACAGCCCATACTTCCATAGGTTACTTTAAAGAACCTGCTAAACAAACAATTTGATTAATTACCTCCTTAAAATAGTTCCTCTGGGCTTCTTCATACCCAGTATCAAAAGTACTAATCTGTAGTTTCATGTTTGTTTTTTTTTTTTTTAAAGAAAAATTGACATTTCACTCTTCTTTGCATCCTCAGGACTCTTTTAAAAAAAGTTACAGAAAATGTAATGCTTGCTTTCCCAGTTTCAATGTTGGTCATTATTACTTGTGAAGTATGTTGCTTTGTTTACTTCTAAGCAGAATTTTTATATTTATACACACACAAACACATATACGTTTGCATCATTGCTCTGTCTGTATTGCAGAATTCACCTCAAGTTAGGCAAAAACTCAACCTTCTTTCTTTATAGGTGCACAGACCATATAGTGCATAGCCATTAGTTGATCTAATGCCCAGTGCAAGTCCTTTATGCTTTTTTTTCAGTCGTGCTTCTCTATTTCATGGCGCTCTTAGCTCCTGCAAATAGACATGAGAAAACATTTAACGATAATGGTTTGGTTTATTGATACACGTAGTCGTTATTTGGTAGGAATTCTCCAGATACTGTAGAGGATAAGCCCTGTTTTGAAGCTTGTAATGTAACTTTCAGAAATTTGCTAACTATTTTTTTATGAACAGGAGCCACTGAGTGACAGAGGAATGTTTTGCAGGTTATGCCTCCTTGTCCAGGATGCCTATGGTATGTTCAGTGAAGTGCAGTTACAGTCCCTGAGTTCTGCGGATGACATTGAGCAGTATTGCAGGAGATGGGAAGGAAAATGCTGCTGCCTAGCTGGAATGAAAATTTTGCAAAGAACTACAAGAGGAAGGTGAGAACAATTCATGGGAGAATGTACTGCATACTGTGGCAGGCGGAGATGATCTGCCTTTTGATTTATTTCTGTGATCAATATTCTTTGGAACAACCGAGTTGTGCTTTGTTCAATTAAATGTCTCATTGCCATTTTTGGGGCATCCAATAGTACTTGAGCCACCATGCTCCAAAATGAGCATAAATAAGCTAATACACAAATACACACTTAGAAGAGCAAAGGCTAGAGAAGAATTACTGTATGCAATATCTCATAAAATATGAGTGTTTTCTTCCTCTTCAGTAGATCCAAAAGCTTAAAAACATTAGTTCACCTCCCTTTCATTGCAGAACTGTTTATTACAGTATGTTTTTCTACAGTGCTGCCCAGTCTGGGTTGAAGATTCAAGCACAGACTTTCCCTTAGTATGTGAGAGCTTAATTCAGTTAAGTCCATATGGTTTTGGAAGCACAGTTTAAGTTTCTTTAAAAAAAAAATAAATCTCGCAAATAGTAAAGCCATTTTTATTTTGGAGTAAGAGTGTCCACAGGTTTATAGAAAAAATCCCCCCAGATAAGTAACAAATTGACATATGGTACCTCTCAGACTTTGCTTAATCTGTGATTCCTTTTACATTCTTTGAATAAAATAAAATATTTTTAATCAAGGAAAAAAACCTTTAAATAGATCAATTATCTTACAGAGTATCTTTCTAAGGAAAGTGATATGGTGTTCACATGGGGACCTATATAAATATAACTAGATTGGTTCAATTCTCAACGTAATTTATTCGTACAAGCATGCGATCTAGATAAGCCTTTGGTATTAGAATGGCTATGATATTTCTGCTGACACTTTTTTTTCCTGTTGAAAAATGCTGTTTCATCAAAACCAGAATGTCATGGAAACTTTATCTATTTTGGAGACAGTTTTGTTGGGAAGATTTTTTTTCAGGTCCAGAGGGAGTGAATATTCTCTCTCTCATTCTCATTTCATGAAAACTTTCAGAAAATCTCATTTTTGTTTCATATTGGAACAAAAACAAATTTCAAAGCCTTGAAATGTTTAGCAAAATGGAATTGTTGTTTTCCAGCCAGCACTATTCAGTATGCTTTTCTTTTTATGTACTTGCAGTGTTAATTTTCAGATCCTTTGGATTTCAAGCCTACTTGCATTTTTATGGATCTTTAATAACAAACACGTCTTCTTATTTAATTATTTTGTTGGCTTTTTTTCCAAGTTACATTTTTTCCAAACAAATTAAATAATGGTGTTGGAATTCTGGATACAAATGAAGTTTTACAACCGGCTGCTGGTGTTTCCAGTACTCTGCCTAGCTAATAAGAGACAGACTTTTTCTAATGTAAATTGTGTTTCAAAGCAGCAGTAACTTACTTCTGGCTATTCTGAAGACGATTAGAAGACACACTGCTGAAAATGCTGGTGGCTCAGCTGGAGCTGTGCTGGTGGTAACCCTGCTAGGAAACATTAAAAGAAAAAGGCTAGTGTAGCTTCGGGGACAGCGCAGTGGTTAAAACGTGATTTCATAGTACACGATGGGTGGGTGGGGGAATTGTTCAGGGTTTTATTTTTTTCTTAATTGTTTTAGCCTAAGTTCTGCTTTATAACTTGTTATTACTTTTAAGTGTTGGGACACGTTTTGTGTCATTCTAGGTGTGATGGAAACCACAGTAAAGCCATAGCTGACATGAATATGAGGGCATACTTACTCACACAGAGCATAATTAGACTGTAGAACTCATTGCCACTGGATAAATGGGTTTCCAGAGCTAGTGGTATATCCGAGCACATGATGGGATATGCCTGTGAGTGCCCAACCTTGGCTTGCAGCACATGAGTGAATAAGAACTACATGGTCTGCCCTGAAAGAGAGAGAGAGAGAGAGAGACTGCTGCTGCTTTTTTTTTTTTGAGAACACAAATTACTTTTTGGAAGGAGATGGCTTTTAAACTGTTTGTTTCCTGGAGTCTGACAGTGGCTTTTAAAATGAATAAAAGGGAATAAAATGTAGAAAATACAAGGGAAAAGTCATGACTGGGTTTTTTTGTGCCTTTGAAGCACATGATCTGGAGAAAGCCAGGAATGGCTAATAAGATCCCATACGTGCATGTTGTCCCACAGTCACATGGATTGTAATTGCTCTTACAGAGACAGAGTGCTTCCTCAGTCCCTCTGTGAGACAGAGGAGATTTTCCTTTAGCAGATAACTAGAGGTTCTCAAGCTTTTTGCATCAATGGACCACTGTTACTGTTCAAAAAATTTTCCAGGCCATCATCCATCCTCATCGTCAAGTATTTAATTTAAAGTACTATTTAACATCATTCCAGTAAATGCAATTTTTAAATCACTGTTGTAAACTGAAGTTGCATTTCAAGGACTAAAAACCTGTAACAAAGGGTATTTTACATCCAGAAGAAAACCTGTCTGTGAACCTGACTTGATCTTTGGAATGGACCTGTACTGTAAGATGTGCTAAAGAAAGTAAACCCATTTCTTCTCCTGATAAGAAAACACTTGTGTTCCAAAAGAAAAGTGGGATAAGAACTTACACAACCATGTCCTGTCTTGACCAAGATCCAACCCTGTGAAAAATTAGAATTACAGTAATCTTACACTGAGAGAAACATTGTTGATGTTCAATATTGTTTTTGAATACCCATACGCTTTAACAAGTACTAGGGTCTTGTACTGGGTCATTTGAAGGTCTTTCATTGATTTAAGTAGTTTTCAGAACAAGTCCCATACCCCATGTAAAACATACTTCCCAAAACCATCCCTGCAAGAAATCCTTCCCTTTGTAGTCCAGTAGAGGAAGTGGTGTTTCCCTTTGCAGTCCGGTTTCTGGCAATCCCGTAAGACAGATGGGCAAGGCTGAGTCACAGCAAAGTTGCCATGGCTTGTTCAGTGTCTTATTTCCAGCAGTTCTTCTAATACTGTTCATGAGGCTGTCAAATAAGGTAGGAACCAGTATTGTAGCAGCTCAATTAGCAGCATGTATGTGGTTCAGTGTCTGTTTCTTGACACCTTTTCTCTTCACCCTCTCATTCATACTAGTCTCCTAGCCTTTCCTACAACTGGTCCCTGAACTGCATGCTTAGTATCAGCAGAAAAGAAAGATACGGTGGTTTAAAGAGAGAAGGCTGAAAAACGTTCATTTATCTGCCACTGGTGGTGTTGGCTCCTTAGAGGTGTATGTTCTCTCTCTTGTCCTCCCACTACCTCATCTATCAGTCTTACAAATTCAGCCCCTTGAGAAGAAGGAAGTGAGATTTTGACAGTGTACTGCCAGGGGCAGGAATTTTGGTTAAGAATCTGTATGCAGTACAACTAACATGTAAACCCCCTATTTTAATAGATCCCAGGCGTGTTTCAGGTATGTCTGGTGTAACCAGTAACTAAATGGATGCAATTAGGTGCAGGGACTGAGCGCTCACTAAAATGCCTCAGGAATAAATAACTTTTAAATGGTCATAGGCTGCTGCTTCCTACCAGAAATTAATTTCAGTGAGCTGGGGTAAACTTTGTAGTTAGATATCTGTCTTTATCAACAAAAATACTGATTTTATGTCTTTAGCCCTGACTGGAGTTCCACACAGAATGATAATGTGGATTTTGACAATTCGTGTCTTTTCACGTGATTTGCCAAGCACTGAGTTTACTGCTGAGTGTAGCAGACCTACTTGCTGCTTCTCTTTATGCTTTCTTACAAGGTAGATAGATGAAGAGTTTCTATTCAGCAGAACAGAAAGATGACACCAATTTAAAAATGGAGGGGGGAGGAAGAAATGCTTTAACGTAATACATAATTAATGCAGGGTGTCAGTACCAGTTTTGTCCCTAAATTGAAAAAATGCTTAACAAGTTTCAAAATAAGATGCAGCTGTTGCATGGATAGTGCTAAAATCCACACTTACGTTGGATAGGGTAAAATACTTTGAAGGATACATCAACTCATAAGTTTTGGCACTTGACCCAACCTTTAATTTATGGCAAGTTGTAGTATCTGTTGCATTTTCCTCTAAAGTAAGTAGGCTGTGAATACTGAGTTCATCAACCAGTGTTACGGTTCTCTGAGAAAATTCTGCGTTTTCAAATAAAGTTGGCTTCTGTTGTTTGTCATTTTAAACTTTCAAATGTTAGGCACTGAAATGTGAAATCTCCCTGTATTTGTCTGTAGTGTTGGTCACTATTGTGCCCAAGGGTTTCTTTCTTCTTCTTTTTTCTTTTTATTTAAGTCCTATACTTAAGACTTAAATAAAAAGAGGACTCTGGCCTCTATCTCTCTCCCTTCTCCTCTATTCTTCACCATATACTTTCTCTTTTTGCTTTGCACTCAGAAGAGAGGACCACTGCTAACTGCAATAGAAGAAAGTGTTTCAACTGGTAGACGTTGACAGGAAGTGTAATAGTAAGAGCCCTCCACAGAGCAAGGAAGTCATAACTTCCTTCCTTTGGTTTTTCCTCCTCAAAAAAGACGCCATCTAAAAAAGCCACCCACGTCTCAGAGGTTTTGAGGTCCTGAAACACTTTGGTAACTGCTGTGGTTAAAAGTTGAGTTCCATTTAAAGCATGATTTAAGTAATCGCATTGAAGTTTTGACTACTTGCGTTACTTTTTTATTATTTTTGATGACTCCTTATGTATCAGAAATCAACTTTTTTTCCTGACTTTTCTTCTCTTTAACAAGCATGGACTGCTGCTTGTATCTTCAGTGCATCAGTCATGAATTCATTTAGTAACTAGCATTGGAGAATATAACATAAGCATATCCATACTGAATCAAAAGTACTTTTATATTATTGTTTCAGTGTTTTAATGTAATATATGTAATTTCTGATGTACTATAGGAAATCTAGTTACCAAAGTATGTGAATAAATTATTCAACAAAATAATTTCATATATCTAAACAAAATTTAGGGGAAAAAACCCAGCAACCCTTCCTCCCTGTTTGTATTTTGACTGAGATGCTGGTTAGGTAGGCTCAGATTTTTACTTTATTATTTTGTTGCTTTTATTACTCAAGTGTGAAAAAATACGGTGTTGCGTGGCTTGTGCACTGCAAGATCTTAATAGGTCAATTAAAGGGAGAGTTAGCCTACAGTACCAGCTTCATATTTGGATTGCTTGTCTTTTGATAGTTGAAGCTTATGCAGTCTAGGTGATGATTACTAATTTCTTTTTAGTTTTGAGCAAGGAGATATTTCACAGAGGGCTAGGAATTGCTTTGAGTTCTTAATAATTGAGACTGGTACTGCCAAAAGAAAAATGTTTCATTTTAGATTGAAACTGGGAGAGTAGGACAGGAGGAAACAGAGAAGTGCCAAGTCTTGAGTCCCCAGAGCAAAGCTGTGGAAGACATTGGAGGAGAATCCTAGCGTCTTTCTTCCTGTCTCCTACTGTAAACCTGATGTAGTCTTTCTTTTCCTCGTTATGGGCATTTTTTTCCTTCTACTTTCTTTGATATTGCTGATGCCTGCAGTAATATTCCCCTGAACCAGTGGTATGATTATTAAAATTGAAAAAATCCCCCAAACTATAAGCTGTAATGTTAAGAAGTTGAGTCAGGCATGTCACACACAAAGTTCTCGGACCAGAACTGTAGATGAAACTTCATGCTTGTGAGAGAAATAAACAAAGTTGTCTTAGTAAGTTATGATACAATTTGTCAGATCAGAGTCAGTGAAATACAGTTTTGAAAAATCAAAATTTGAAGTTGTTTGATTTTTGTAGTACAGCTTGTAGCATGAAATTAATGAAATTTCCATAGGATCAGAGTAGATGTACTGAGACTGTAGATACTGGTTTATCATTTTACTGGGTCTAAATATAATTACAATGGCTTTTCTATTTAATCTGTATGTTTTTATCAAAAATCATAGAGCAAACATGTATGTGCATTTGTGCGCATGTGAATGTATGCCATTTGACTTTGCAGTGAAGGGCTAAACAAGTCAGGAGGGTTAGGAGCAGAAGGTGACTTCTGTCTCCTGCTGAGCTGTGAAACTGAGAAGGAAGGTGGTTAGGTGAGCAAATGAAAGCAGGTTCTGTACAGGGCAGAACAGTCATCATCTGTGGCGAGAATTGTGGGGTGGAAGAAGTAAATGCTGTTTTTATTAGTATCACTATCTTCCAGTTATTGTTCTATGGAATAGTTTAAGATAATTTGTTAAACAGGTCAGGATTAATTTCTGCATGTGCTGCATGTATATTTTGCATTTTCTCAGCCATGTATTTAGCCTGTTTAAGAGTATGAAGTCTTTAAAATTCTCTGACTGCTGTCTGGGTACACAGCAGGCAGTTTGTGTTTATGGATACACAGGAAAGATGTATCAAAGTTCAGCAAGCAAGATTTCAGTTTAGCATGGGAAGTAGGGGGTTGAATCTGTCATTCAGAATCTGATAGATGATTTCTGTCCTCCTGGTATGGATTCAGTCTTTTTTTCTTTTTTTTTGGAGAAAAGTTATAGAATATTACAATAGAGTCCTTGTCTCTGAAATAAAAAAATGTTATTCAAAATACATGTTGGTTTTTTTTATCCTTGAGCCTGTTTCTTCTCACTTCTTACTGTACTTTTCCTTTTTTAGAAGTCTGTCCTTTTATGATCAAAATGAATTTAATTTTTTTTAAAATAGTGACTAGTAATTACACTCATAGAGCAAAATTTTAAAGTTTTTATTTTGTCTTCTGTAGCCAGAAAGGCTCTTTGTGCACATGGGGGCTAACCATGTCCCTTCGCTGTAGTACAGAGCCAGCTGTTCATCTCTTGTCCTGACTCTATAGCTGAAGAAGGATACACATATTGGATAAAATACACCCATTGTTCAAATCAGATTGAAGTGGGATTTGAGTGTTGCTTGGCCAATAAAGAGAATGAGTTTTATTCTTTCTATAAGGATAATGATTTTCTACAGAGGAGGACACAATGTCTTGCCATTTCTCTGCTGTCATTGCCCCCACCTCATTCCCCCTTCTACTAAGTCAATATCTGTAAGTGTAAAGAGAGAGTTAACTTTCTTGGAGGCGTATAAATGGGTGGAGCAAGAGGGGAGCTCCTCACCCCAGATGCTGGCTGATACAGCCCCTGGCACATCAGTGACAGCTCCAGGAGAGACCATCCCCTTTGGTAGAGAAGGATCCCGGCAGGATGTGATTTGGAACTTGCAAATCCTTTGGGTGGCAAATGTCCCTGCCATTGGCCTGGCTGGTGTCAAAGACAAGGATGGGGCTAAGATGTTCAGGAGACACTCTCTACACAATGCTGCTCCTCTGCCTGTTTGTAAACAAATACTGTCATTTACTAGTAATTACGTACTTGTAGTACAAGCAGTAGATGACCTTCTCCAAAAGGACACGAGTAGTTGAAGAAAATGTACTGCATGTCTTAGATATTCTGATATGGGGTAGCAAGCTGGAAGAGAGGTAAAGAATAAGGGACAGGTTCATGTCGCTTGTGCAAATTTAAAAATGCAGATGAGGGATCAATGTACAGTCTGCGTGGAGATGTGATTATACCTGCACTGCAACAACGTAGTGTATTTGCTCTAAGTTGACAAATACATGATCTCTGTATGCACGCGCACACGCAGAGTTTGTGGTAACGTTCATACCTGTGCTCTGCCCTTGCTCTCATGCTGCGTGTCATGTGAGCAAGGCCACTTGTGTAACTGCCCGAGTTGTACAGAAGGCTGTGCTCTCTTTTTGTAACTCTCCTTTTTCATGTCCCAGTTAGCAAGACCAGTTTGTTCCACTGGGCATTGGCCCTCCTGTGACTGTAGAGAGGATATCGTTCTGTACGATACAGGACAGAAAACGTCACCCTGATCAAGGATTCATGAAGTTGTCAATTTGCTGTAAAGTCTCTTTAATACCCAAGAAGTGTTGCTTTGTATGTTGTAATGTTCTCACTGTTAAAAAACCCCAACAACCCAAAACAACAAAAAAAACCCAGCCTCTGAGCTCAGCCTTCTCCTTTTACAGACTCAGTGATGATGCCCTATAAGTCAGGAAGTTCATGTCTGTAAAAGAGCGGCACGTTTGTGTTTCTGGTCTGTTCATTAGGGTGGAGAACACGACTTACAGATAGTAACATCATCTCTTTAATGTGCCAGGCTTGTTATCTGAATTGTGAACCACAGGCTTTATTCCACAAGATTCCGTCTAAGACTGACATTCATAAAACTTCTTACGGTGCTGGTCCAAAGGCATCAGTATTAACACTGAATCGTAGATTATGCCTGGCGCTTTATGAAAAAACATGGGAAGAAGTTCACTGCCTATAAACACCCAAAGTCTAAGCACTTAAGGATCCGGAGAAGGACTAGGGAAATACAGAAGTAAGCTTAAGCAGAAGTGAGTTAAAAGCAGAACTTTGACGGAGAGTTTCTGTGACCCCTTGAAGAGAAGCAGCATATTGCAATGTGCTTCAGCCCTGTGCCAGAGTATGCCTTTTCCTTCTTCTAAACAATTGAGTTTAGAAGCTAATACTACTTTTAGCAACTTCTGGACTTCATTTTTTAGAGTTGTTTCAGAAATAGTGGCTTTCTTAATCGGCGGAACAGACAGCTCGTTTTTGGAGGCAGTGTGGGGTTAAAATCCGGATCTCTGTGCTTCGACTACTCAGAACAGAGAACTAGGAGAAGATAACTGAGAGCTTTAACTCAAAAATGCATGCCTCTTCAAGTTGGTTATCTGTAGCTATTTCCCCTCCCTCAGCTGTTTTCTTGGCCTCTCCCTGAGATGTTCCTGCCTGTCCTGCAAGGATGCCGTATCAACTGGGAAGGCAGCCACTGTATGGCTTTGCCTGCTAAAGCTAAAGAGTCTGCAGCATTTTACTTTAATATGCTGGGCTGTTAATTTTATGTTTGTTTCTAAATTAAAAGTGGGAAACTTGCAAAATAAATACAGAAAACCCGTGACTACATGAGCAGCTGTGTAGGAAGGAGACCATCCTCTGCACATGTACTTAAGATAACAAAATCTTGCCTGTTTCTCTGTATCTGATAATTGCTGACTTTCCTGAAAGCAGTTACAGTCAGCTGTTACAGAAAAGCAAGAAATGGAAATGTTAGAAGCAAAACGTTTTGTTTTGGTTTTTTTTTTTTAAAAACCCAAATCTATCAGTTAAAATAGTTAAAAGCTATTTTTTAAAAGAAGTTGTACTGGTACCTGTGTCCTTCCCAATGTAGCATTTACCCCAGTTCCCCTGAATTTTATCATGTAGCAGGCTGTTCATGGCAAAGGATTAAATATGACTTGCTTGTCACTGAGTGTGATACATCCCTTCCTTCCCTCTCCACCCTGCAGCAGAAATGATGGAGATTTAAGTAGACCAAATCAAAACCAGCTTCCAGACAACAAATATGATTTAAAATTGTTTTCATAATCATGCAATAGTTTACATTATATTTCTTAATGGATCTTTTTAGTATAACGTGTAACACTGGAAAACATTTAAAACTTGATTTTATTGGTCTTTTTGAAGGGCATTAGGACTTTTTAGTCTGATAGACAGCCTGTGGCCTCCAGTAGTGCCTGTAAAAGTTCCTGGACAAAGTCAAGACTCTGAAATGGTAAGTCTTGTTATTATGGAAATGTTTTTTTTCACTCACAACTACTATATTTATTGGTTGTGTAGTCGTGTTTACTTTGGGAATCAGATTCTCTCCTTCTCTTTAGCTACTGAGTTTTGTTTTACTGGTTCTGGCAACCTCCTAGGCTAACTGAAGCCCTCTGGATCAGCAGCGTCTTTCCAAAATGATGCAATTAGCCCCTTATTAATCCTCTAGAACTAGAATGGTAGGATGTCCAGACAAATTATTCCTCTCCTCTCCTTGCAGGAGGGAAGAGATACTAGATAGCGTGGAGCCAGCTGAGAAATCTATATACAAGGATATTAACTTGTTCTTTGAAGCACTTTTCAGCCTTAGATTCAAAAGCACTTTTCTGAAGATTAACTTCTGTGAGGGCAGACTGACTGCTGGAATTGGTTCTCTTACCAGTTAGGATGATTTTGAGTGATATTTGTCTCATGTGAAGACAGTCAAAGGATGAACACAAAAATAATCTACTAAAAAGTAATTAAAGTTTCTGTGATTTTAGGGGGTGGGGAGGTATTAAAATGGATTTAAAGTATGTTACTATACGTTTGTAAATCTAAAATGGCATCTTTAATTAGTTTATGTATTTGAAAAGGAGTTCTGTCGTATCAAGTGTCATTTTGGTAATATGAGATCATTTGAGAAGCTTCTGGGTAAACCAAGTGCTTGTACTGTCCTGCTGTTCTTGTGTAGCTGTTCTTCGGGGAAGAAGTTTGTGGTATTAAAAATTTGTGTTAGAGCCTAGGAGAGTCAGTCAGGATGCAAACTCTAGAAAAGAAGGAAAAGCTGGAAATAAACAAGTTTCAAAACCAGGGGACATCAGAGGTGGATATTACTAGTTATTTCTGAAGTCTGAGAATCATTTCTCTGCAATGTAGAGTGTTCTTTGCATTGTGCAGGGTTTTGTGTTGAAGAATAAAAAGTTCATTCCTTGGTTATATATAAAACCAAGACTGAAACTGAGTGAAACGGCTGTTGTCTCCTTGACTGTCCCTTTCATCTAGACATTTCAGAAGTCTCAGAGGAGTGCATTATTTTGTTCATTAAAATACTGTGGAGAACATAATGGGAATATCCACGGATGGAGCAAAGCTCTTGAATGTTGTTTAGCATTGTCATGACTCTCATTTGTTCTTCATTTTCTCTATTTTATTAGCAATCTAAAAATGGAGGAAACTTTCCATAATCATGTAATTTACACTTCTGTCATGGCTTTGAAATACTAACTCATTCCACAGAGGATCAAGACTTGCATTCTACTGCTGCAGGTTTTTGGCTTAGTGGAGTTTTTTCAGTTGAGATACATTTTTCTTGATGCAAACAGTATAGTTTCATGCACAGTTGTATAGAAGCAGTTCTACACATAGGTACATAAATAATATTGCCAGCACACTGATAATATTGTTGGGAAGAGATCTGTGGAACTGATTTCTTTTGAGCCATATGTACATTCAAATACCTTCTTTAGTGCTGTCAGAGGCAAACAGAATTTGAGTTGATGTCTTTTGCTTTTTTTCTCCTTATGCAGATTTTTTTTAATGGGTACGCAGCTGTCTTTAATAGATTCATATTTCTTTTATTAAATGAAACGCTTTATTAACAACAACCATTGCTAGAAGAATATTTTACCGTATCCGCAATAAAAATTATTTTCTAGCATTGTCTTTTTTTTCCGGAGAAGCCTTTCTAGTTTGGGACCTCTTTAAGTGGTGATTGATAAAGTTGTTACGTCATGGTACTTTTTAAGGGGGAAAGAAAAATCTGGCATAACACAAAAAGAGCAGTTCTTGTAGCTGTTGCGTTCCTGTTCTTCATTATCTCTTTGTGCTGTCCTGGATTTAATTTGGCAGCTTTAAAAGTTCATCAGCTGTTTATTATCACAAAAACCCACCCACATGCAAAAGTCCCCAAATCTCAGAAAAGTTACGGAAGTTAAGAAAAAAAGAAGAATAATTGGGGCACTCCTTACAACATAATAAAAAAATGCAACAAGAACAACAAGCACTGTGAAATAGTCGAAGTGTTTGCCAAGTGTGCCAAATCATGAGATGTTTTTGTGATGAGGATCAATGTCAGATTATGGAAAGAATGATACGCACAAGCTGATTTCACTTATAACTTGTGAGCATTGGTTTATTCACTCAACTTCTACTTCAGAGGGTTGTTGTTATTAACCATATAATTTTGTTTTCCCATCCCTCTAAAAATGTAAATTGTGTGGTTTGTTTTGGCTATAATAAAACCCAAATTCAAGTGCCTTTTTTAAGGTCACATTTCTTTTCCTTACTTTTTAATAGATGACCACTAATCTTCCTCCTCCCAGCTTCTGTTATATTCTTACTGTTCAGTCTGGTGAAATACATGTGGAAGTGGATGAGGAAGAACAGATTTCTAATTTGTACCAGCCACCAGCTGTTCATGGTCTAAAAGAAATTCTTCAGGTAATCTGCTTTACAAGTCAGATAACAAATACTTTCTACCACTGGATTTCTAGTATCATGTTTGTCTCATTCCCTGTTTTTGTACTATTTTCAGATGGATGGTTGTAATGAACGTTGTAGCTTTTGGGCGCAAGTGCTATATCTAAGGCTGCAGGTAATCTTTTCACTTAGCAATGAATTCAACATAAAATCAACATAATGTTTATGTGAAGAAGCCAGCATTTATCTTGTTTAGGGGAAAGCCCAAAACCTTCCTGGATTATCTTCAAGAGTTGTATGAGCAGAATTGTCACCAGGTCTAAAATGCTTGTGAATGGGTAAAATGAACTGCGTCTCCAGTTTCACCACCATCCAGTCTAAAAAGTGAATTATTTCTGAATAAATTGCTATCTAACCAGAGGTAATATTTCACCCTGGTAAGGGAGCTTGCAGGAAGTTTGTTGAGACTCAGTTTATAGCTAAATGCTATCCTTAGATACACAGCGAAAAGTTCCCAGTCAGTTGAGTGTCTGGGGATAGAATTTAACAGATGATGGTTATATAAAAATACAGTTTTGCTCTTTACATGCAAGTGTGTGGACTGTTTTTGTTGACTTCAATAGAAACCCCTCAGGCAAATTTGGCTTTTATGGTCCAGTTAGTAGAAAGGAGGAACTCTTAGGTAAATACATCTGCCATCCATACTGTGTTGGAAAGCTTATAATTATGTTTTATTTATTTGTTTCTGAATGACGCTACAGTTTTCTTTCAAAATGTTGCTAACTCCCTCAGTAGTTAAAGGAATTTTTGGTTGCTGATTTATTTCTTTTTTCCTGGCGACTGGATCCTCAGTACAGCCAGCACTGAATTCTGGTGGAGAATAATTTGCAATTGTCCATCAGCTCCACAAGAAACAAAGTGTGAATCAAAGCATATGAACCAAAGACAAAGAAATTCCAGAACGGCAAGCAAAATAGCTGGAGATGCTCCCCACCAGTGTGAGACATAAATTTAATTTAGGTCTTGCCCTTTTGCTTCAAAAGCCAATGAGTTACGATTTGATTTTTAGGCAGGGAGTACTTCTAACTCCCAAGATGAGGGGTATCTCTTGTGTTTTCTCCATGCTAAGTGAGAATTTAACAGAGCATTTGCACATGTGAAATTAGGGCTAGCTTGATGGGATCTTTAGTGTGCTAACAGAAAGACGGACAGGACACATACATGCATAAACTTCTATTTCCAAGAAACCTGTTCTATTAAACAATAAAATAAAATTACAGACTAGTGGTATCCTAGCCAAAAATTTTTGTCTTCAGGAATGTCTACATCTGAGATGCTGTGGGTCATCAGTATTCTTGTGTAGAAGCACTTAATCACTAAATTAGAGAAAAGATGAAGCATGCAGGAACAGATGTGATTTTGAAGAATGGAAGCTTGTTTAGCAGAAGGTCTATGATTTCTTCTTGCTACTAGGAAGTTTATTAGCTGTTTTTTTAACAGCTATTCACTTACTGAACTGTAAGCACTAAATTTTCATAAGTGAACAACATGAGTGCTCATACCTTTTTTGAAAGTAATGTTGGAAAAGCAATAGAAAATATTCTTCTGGATAACTGCTCTAGGAATGTAAAGGTATTTACCTGCTGTTAGTGTATCGCTTGCCTAATCCTCCCAGAAGAAGGTCACGAACAGCAGCTTGTTTACTGCAGTTGCCGTTGCCAAGAGGACATATCCTTCACATGCAAAATCATCAAGTTGTAATAAGAGAGGAAGGAACTATTTCTTCTGCAGGTTTATTCTGCAGATTTATTGTTAGTAGATAATCTGCTACATGAGCTAATTCAAATGTACTTTGAAAAATAGTATTTATTCTATGTAGCTACAGTATTCTGAGATACTTCATTTGTGTGAAGAAGGAATGGAAATATGCTTTTATTATTACTCAGAATCTGTACTGTGGTACAGAAGGAATATGAGGAAATATATTCCATCTGTGGTTAAGGAGCTGTCCTTCCTTATAACTCAATCCTGCTGCTATTTGTCTGTTGTGTCCTCTCTGTTCAGAACAAATTGTCACACATAGCTAGATGATGATTTTATACTAACTTGTGATTTTTGCTGTTATTATTATTTACTTTTTGGATGGTTCTTCTGAAAGCCAGCTTTTAATGTGTTAGTAATTCTCATGTGACAGCTGTAAAAATTCTTTCTTTGAAGCTGTCCTAATGCTATCTACGCAGAGGAGGTACTCAAATGTATGTAGTTACTAGGCAAAGAAACGACGTCAATGCATATATTGTATTAAGGCATAACTGTAATATCTGAGTTATGAATTTTCCCAGTCATTATTTACAATTACCGCATTTGTTCTAAGAGCTGCTAGCATGAACAAAAAGCTAATTTTAGTGTGGTTAACGGTTTCAAGGTTTGAATTCAACCAAAGACAAAAAGCTGGGATTCTCATTGCATTACCTTATGCTAGTGACAGGCAACTTTGAGAATAAAATACTTATGTGATACGTGTTTCTCCAATCATTGCAGTATTTTAATTTCATCTAAACGTTTTAAGTATGAATTTTTAATCCACAGACTAATTAAAAATAGTAACAAAAACATTTAAGAAAGTAATTTAATTTCAGTGAAATATTTTAAAATATTAGAATCGTAAAAGTTGCAAGTTGCTTGGACTGGTAAATGTGAAATATACAAGCATATTATAAAAGTTGTGTTTGAAAACAAAAAAGAAGAAAAGCATGAATCGTCAAATTGAATCTGATTTTGTTAGAGACTCTGGAATAAGCACTGATGTTTGTATAATATCTGTCTAGTCTGTCTTGTCCATCATCCCAGTGTGAAAAATTTTTAGATCTCTACTGATTTGTGATAATTGTTTTCAGATATGAAGCCTGAGATGACATGTAGGTATTTTGTTTGTGACATCAGTAGTTGTGATATACCTCAATTTAGGCACACCAGAACATTTTTATACCTTTCTTAGGCAGAAAACTTACATTCTCATTGGGGATTCCTGTGTTTCTTACTTATGAGTTATCTACTTTCCTCTTTCTATACATCATTCAAATATTTAGAGATATTTGTTCAACAGAAAGAAAAACTCCTGGCTTTGTATCTTACAGTAGCTATTAGCCAAGGACTGATGCTCTTGGGAATCAGATAACAGTACATGGAAAATTTGCTCACACAGGAATAATAGTAGTGGTAGTGTTAGTCTTTTTTTTAAGGCAAAAATTATATAACTCCTTGTTCACAAAACCAGCCAATTAACTTTATGTATATGCGTGTATATCTATGATAAATTTTTTAATATAAAATACATTTTCTAATCCCTAGTACAGTCCAAGTGAGTTATGATAAGGCATGATAGTTGATAGAGGTAAAGCCAAGATTCCAGTGGGTCAACCTTGGAAAGTTAATTTAAAGTAGAGATGTGTGTATCTGCAGTAAGGTATGATGAAAAATTCCAATAAAGCTTTGATTCATTGTCCTGTACGAGCCTTAAATGTGATAATTTCTGTCAGTTTTATTAGTTATTTAAATATAAGGATGTTATTTTAGTCTTTCCTTCTACTAAAAATTAACAACTGCATTCCAGATTGGTTTGTTTTTTTGTTTTTTTTTTAATAATAGACAAAGCACAATGTTCCTATAAATCAAAGAGAGATTTGGTTGTTTGTGACTGACTCCACATTGCAAAATGTGGTTCGTATAATTCCAAAAGTTGTTGCTGTGTCAGTCGCTGCATCGTGTGTGCTCAGTACGGAAATCACAGAAGCCCTCAGTGTTGCCTCACGACTCGTCTTCTTCAAGGATGCACTGTGGGGAAATGGTAAGCTTTATGCGTGGTTTTGAAGCAGTTGGAATCAAACTGAAATAGCATCCTCATCTCTGACACTGCAATACATGACCTACGGAGACTTTCATTCTCAGATGAAGATGAGACATTGCAAGTTTGGGATGAGAAAGTTGAAAGAGGTTGTAATTAGAGCTTTCCCATAAGGTTTCTTTTTTACATTTTTTGCTTGATCTCTAAAGTAAATGAGAAATTCGGTGATCTTGTTGTATGTCCACCAGTATTTCTGTCAGTCTTCCCTGGCGGCTGTTGAATCTAATGACCAGAGTCAATCAAATTTGCTCGCTGGCAGAAGACTCAAAAATAATAAGAAACTTGGTTTCATTTGTTTTGATATTCTTGCAGAAACTTGTTTTATTGACCTTAACTACCTCTAAAAGTATCAGGAGGGTGAGTCTGGAGACACGTGTGTCCCTAGATACAGAAATTTTACAAACTCTCCTATACTGTCTTAGCCGTGAGTCTTTGCCGCCATACAGATCACGTAATGATGGTAGTTCACTTTACATTCATTTTTAGCCACTCTTTTTTGAGGTTCAGGTATGGTTCTGTATGGTGCCTGCACGTGTAGTTCACATCTCACACCTTCAGTCACTTCTAAAATGTAAGCGGACTGGAAGCACCAACCTGTGTAAATGGTTGTGTCCACCAAAGCAAAAATCTCTGCTTTGGAGAATAAAGCATTGCATGCACCCACTCTTTGTAATCTTTGAAACAAAGTAAGACCACCTGAAGGGGTGCCCAAGCTTATTACCAGGGAATAGACAGTAACGTTGTGTTTGCAGGGAGTGTGGTGCGATGCAGTCAGACTGAAATCAGACTCTCTTTGCCATGTTCAAAGTCTTAAAACGTCTTTTTTTCCCTGGGAGTCACAAAGTGTAACGAGAGCATGATGCATGTATCGCTGAAAGCAAAATATTTTGTCATTGAGAAAACCTGACGGAGTCTATCCATCTGTTTAGTAGCTGGCAGAGATCGTTGTCTTTATTGGCTGTGACAATTAACATGGTCACCTTTTTCCTTGTTACTGTACTGAGTTGAAATGTCTTTGTTGGCAGGTAGGATTATTTGTGTTGAACGTACTGTTCTCTTATTACAAAAGCCTCTTTTGTACTCGGCTGCCGGTGCTGACCTCAGTGAGCTGACTGGCCCTGTCAGACTCGATGAGCTGGATTCTACAACACAGGCCAACTCCATTTGTGCTGTAAGAGGTTTGTATGGCCTTTCCTGAAATGAATGCTATTAATTATTTGTGCTCACTTTAATCTTTTAGGTCCTTGTATTGATTTCTTGCACAAACAGCATGGAGGGATAAAAAAGCACAGTATTGCTGTGGGTCGTTAGGATATTTAAGTTTTTATACTTCTTTGTGGGCTCTGTTTGCCTTTTGCGGGCCAAGCTCTGTTCCCACTCACTCATACCCCAGAATAAATGTTTGATGCACAATCTGTTTTACTATATTCCTTCCTTCGCCCTCTTCTTTCAGGAGCCTTCTGTTCACACCAGCCTTGTTGATGTTGGCAACAGTAAGGCATACGAATATTTTTTAGGCAGATGGATAAGATATGTTAGCCAGATCCTGAATGGTAGGGGTTAGTGTCTGATTTCCCTGGAGCTTTGCTGCAATGGGGCAATTTAATATTTCACCATAGTCATCGAGCATAACTTGGCCAATATTTGCTCACCAGCCACTTTGGATCATTGCTTTGTCTAATATTTCAGTCCTACCACTAACCATGCAGAAACATTTCTTACAATGTATTTTCCAACATTTCCTAATCATGCAGAAACATTTCCTACTGTGTATTTTCTAATGCTTTGTCCAGTCAGCTTCTTAAACCTCCTAGTTGTAGAGTGCCTATAGGGAAAAGTCCTTAAAAGCCCAATAACTCTTGGCTTTTAAAGATATTTTCCTTTCTTAATTTAACTCTTGATTCTAGTAGCCCTTGTAGAAAATTTGTGAAACTGTTTTACATTTACACCTTCAAGTATTCACTGGAACATTTAAATTAGCTTTAAAATAATAGCAAATAATGGTTACAAATTAATCCTTCCAGCTATAACGCAACGCACTGAAAAGACAGTTTGAAACCACGCAGAGCTGTTACTAAACATACCTTCTCTTACGGTAGAGCCACAAGTTAGCAATGCCTCTGTGATTAATAAATGAGCACCTTGCAGTGACAAATCTTGAACTCCCTAACAATGCATAATGAAAACCAAGCACAACTAGAGGCATTTCACTCAAAGCCTTGGTTGCTATATACATCTCACATCGATATGGTGAGTTACTGGAAAGATATTTCTGTCACTGGGTGTGAAATACTTTTTGGCTTTTTTTTTTTAACCTCTCCTATAGTTATGCTAAGAATTATCACTTCTCCGCTCTTAATTTTGTAACTAAGCATGCAAAATGCTGGTCTTCTTTTGTCCCATTGACAGGGTACATACTAGGATAAAGCAAACATTTCCCTGTCCTTTCTTTTTCCAGCAGAACAAAGAAAATACACCTTTGTGATCTGCTGTGTAAACAAGTACTTACTTTACACACATGGGAGGTGTCATGCTTTCCCCGTTCTGTATTACAGATGGAAGAATGTCAAAAGGAGAAATGAATCCTACAGCCTTGTCTTGCTTCATCTGAAATTTGTCCAGGGTAGCTGTTATCAGTATGTTCCCACACATTTGTACCAATGTAGAATATAAAGTGCCTTCTTTATACCTATGCTAATGCTATATGTAGATGATAACTCTCACTTTTATGTGTAACTAAAATTACTTCATTTTAGCATTTAAGATATATATCTAGTGTTTTGGAATTCGGTTGGTTATTGCCTACATCTTTCTACTGAAGAAGTGAAATGAATAGCACTAACCCTACCTTGTTGGTGCGAGCACATGTGTTTGATGGAGTAACCCATGAAGGAAAAATTATCATCTCTAAAATTCACTCACTGTCTCTGTCTCTTAACTCAGAGAGTTGTTAGTCTGGCTTTCAATGGGAAGCAGTATTACCTCATTCATTCTTTTTCTTTGTGCCCTCCTTTCACTTCCTGTACTTCTGGTCACCTACGTATGCTGTATGTGGGCCTTCTCTCACCTAACACTCAAAAAGGCTGCAAAAGCTTTACCCCTTCTTGAAGTAGTTCTCCTTCCTGCTCCTTTGCAGTCATGGCTGCTCCTCATGGCTCTCAGGGATTCAGCAGGCTCAACCTTCCCTAGAAAAACTTCTTTTTAACCGCTGAAAAATGTAGGTGGTCATTCAAGTCCCCATCCACAGATAGAGCAATTGGTCACGGTGTCAGAGCTTCCAGGAGTGCCAGGATTGGGGAGGGACACAGGCCATGCTGCCTGCTGGGTTTTAGGTAGATGGGTCATTTTTTGGAAGGTGTATCAATAGGATAAGTTAGGTTGGAAGGAACCTCTGAAGTTCTAACTCCAGTCCTAACTCCTGCTCAAAGCTGGGTCCTGAGCAACCTGGTACAACTCTATAGCTGGCCCAGCTTTAAAAGGACAATGTTGCAATCCAAGCAGATCCGCTAAGTTTGTCAGAAATCCTTGTTTCAGAGAGGTTCAGTCATATCGGCATTGGTTTTGAGTGTCTTGTGCTTCAACAGATGAGTGAAAACCTGTGGTTGCTTTCTACTGCAAAGTTTATTATTCTTTTAAAGATGAGTCTGCGGTTCTCACCTGTGAGCTCAGGGTTAATAGATTTATTTTCTTATCACTATGCATTGCAAAGTAATTCCTAACCTCTTTTTGCTGTATAGTAGCAGTCAGGATGACTTAAGTCTTGGCAGTTCATACTGCACAGAACTGTTTTTCCCCTTAACCATGCTTATGAGCAAATTCTAATTAGTCCATACCGCATACGTTATGTGGGAATATTACTTGATTAATGATATTTGCCTAGTATATGACTCACCACCAGTGATTGAATTTCAACCTTGGATATTTTCATACCCAACACCCTTACTCAGGGGTGGTTTTTTTTCAGTTGCCCTCTTAACAGTGTGAACAAAATGGGGTCAATCAGCTTACCTATGTTTCTCTCTTTGATTGAACTTTTCCCCTTCCTGTCCATTAATCAGGGTAACTTACCGGGGGGGAAAAAAAAACAACATTCATTTTTTGAACATTTCAACCAGAGTGTTACTTTTAATCCTCAGCCCTTCTTTGCATTCCTCACCAGAGACCTGTTTTTCCAGGTGTTGTCCTATTATCAGTCTCTTCTTAATAATGTCAGCCACAACCCATAAAAATAGACTAGAGGTAAAAATCGAATTTTGGCTATGTGCATTTCCATTTAAAAGAAGGCTCTCAGGAAAATATCCGAAAGGTTTGTGAACATCAAGCAAAATCTAGAGTCTTGACAAAGATGTGCAGCAGTTCAGCAGCTTAAACTTGAGAAATCACTTTGTATGCAGCATGCACAAGACTGTCAATCTGTTGCCGCCTTCGGTTGTGTTTGTTCTGACTTCACTGATCTCTGGTGGTTTTCTCGAGGACACTCCATGTTGTCGTCAGAATAAACCTCTCCACACGACATAATCTCGTCAGTATGATCCTGGTTAATTTTTTTCACATGTACTTGTATTACTTGTGCACTGGCATCCTGCAGTTGCAATATGGCACACAAATGGGGGGAAAGTTAAAAGGCTTAGAAACAGATCTGGCAGAAAAGGGGATTTTGTTTTGTTTTGTTTTTAAAATGATTTTTTAATGAAAAAGGAAACATACTCCGCAAACTAACTGGTAGCTTTTCTTTTCCATGAACACGGGGAACATGCCCATGCTGTGGCAGAAAGCATCCTACCTTGTAGTAGCAAGTGCTGATGGAAACTCCCAGTTTATCACAAAAACTGCAGAATCAAAATTATTCCTGTGACAGTCCAAGGGGTAAAATGCACAGAATTGCTTATTCTGTCAGTAAAATCCATGTTGTTTCGTTTTATGGATAGAAATCGGGTCATAAGTGTTGTATTTGAGAAGTACTTTTCCTCATCTTCAGACTTGCTGTCCTTTGAATCCCAAAGAAAATTACAGTTTTGTTGTTTATGTGTAGCTCCCTCCTTCCTGTCAATCCTTGTCCCAGGAGAACCAGGAAAGCAAGGGATTAACGCCCTATCTTACAGACCAGGCAGTGTAAATGCTCCCTAGTCTCCAAGGGTTTCTTTTATTGAATGTAGTAGAAAACTGTGAGGTTCTTGCTCAATAGGAGCTGGAATTTTTAGTCTATACTTCTGTTGTACCAGTGAGGGTCTATTTTAGTGTAATTTCATTCTTACAGGTGATCCACTTTGTGTGCTTCAAAATGCCTAGAAGTATTTTCTCCATAAATAATGCTCATAATTTCAGCATATCGTTACCATAAAATATAATATAGTCTTTATTGGCTTCTCATAAAACTCTGAATATATTTTTTCTTGCCAAAACTAGCAAGGCCCTTTGTATTAGTCCAAAGTATCTTTGGCATTCCCTTCTTAGGCACACACTTAAATCCGTGGGCCAGATCTAATCTCTGTTAAATCAGTATAAATGAAGAATAACTCCATTGTTAATGGAATTTAACCTGCATCGTTGTTTTCAGAAGGGATTGGGTCTTCTCATCGGTTTGTGTTTCCTAAATACCAAGTTATCTGACCTGATGATTTTTATAGCTATTTATTGCCAGGGAAACATCAGAGCACCAGAAAGAAAACAAACAAACAAAAACAAATCAGAAAAACAAGAAAACCCAAACCAAAAGAACTGAACTCGTTTGGAAAGTTAATTATCAATTATCTGGTATTTTTAGAATGTAACACACTGCCATACTGTCATCCCTTGTTGGAGGGACGAAGGAGAAAGGGAGTGAGATTGCTGGAAGAGCTGATGCTTGCTCCGACCAGTCTTATTCTTCAGCTGAGGGTCAGAAAGGATCCAGAAAGAAACCTGCTGTGAAGCCAGGAGTGACTGTGTTTGCTAGTTTGCTGTTAGTATTTTGTAAGAATTTCATTTTCTTTAGGTACTGTTGTTGGAGTTAATGAGAGCACTGCTTTCTCCTGGCCTACATGCGACAGATGTGGCAATGGAAAGTTGGAACTGTGTCCCCAGGACAGGTGAGAGTCAGCATGCTCTGGAGCACTCCAGGTGTTTTGCAGATGTAGCCATAACAGCAATAGGTGATGCAATGACTCCTGCAGGCACAGGCTGCACTTTGTTCCTTCCTAGAACCAAGACGTAGTATTTTTATTGCTGATGAACTGATAAAACCTGCAAGGTTAGATTAATTTATTAAGAAAGATAAAAGTAGATATGAAGTGGTTTGAATTTGCAGTTATCACTTTTTTTCCAAACTAATCTTAAAGTATTGCTTATAAAGATTTCATAGCCCACTGCATTATAATATTAGTTTTAATAAACATCCATATAAAACACAGGTCTGGTTTTAAGCTCCTTTAAAAGTAGCTTCTTGTGTTTGTCTACCCTACCGTGTTACCCTGTGTACCACCAATTCACCTCATTTTTATATTGAACTGTGATCTTTGCTGTAATTCACGTACATGTGAAAGAGTTTCAGACCTATTAAATTGATAACCTTTCTAAGAAGGATGTTGAATAATTCTGGGAGTACAGCTGTCCCAGATGTGAAGACTGATCCTACAGGACCTGTTACCACCTGAAGTGCTAAACCTGCGTCACGCTGGCATGCTCTTGGAAAGCCTCCCCTTCAGCTGCCTAGCCAGCTTGCTCTTGCAGAGGCCGAGATACCTGATGGGATAAAACCACAAGAGGATAAGAGAGTAGTCAGAGCGTGAAAAGAAGGAAAGGGGGGTTCTTTCTACTGGAAAAGCTTACAAAAAGCCTAAGGGGAAGTTGGGTGGGTTTGATCCCATTGAAATAGATAACATTTTCCTAAATATAAGAAGCTTTACCGCTTATGCTTTGTTACGTATAGCTTCCGGGGGCGGGGGGAAAAGGCTGAAAATAAAAAAAAAAGCTGCCCTATGTTACACTATCATGCAGAAAGTAAGGATCTGTGTACGTTCACACAGTAGTGTAGTGCCATTAAAAAAAAAATATCTACTGTGAAGGACACTTTTGCTTCATTTGGAGAACAATGTAGCATCGATATTTGTTTAAGACATTATTCCAACAAGCGCTTACAGCTGAGCTTAATTTTATGCATATGACTTAAGTGTGCGCTGAAGATGTTGAACGTTTGCTGAACAAGGACCTAAATCAATGTCACTTGGGCCAAATGTAGACTACAAATTTTCTCTTGCCATAACTTTTAGAAGGTTATGATATTAATATTTGCTTAAGTGGGATGACTATAAATAGCAACCTCCCCCCATGTTGCCATAACTTACAAAAGGAAGATCCTTTTGCTAGAAGAGTTTAGGTCCTCCAAGAGAGTTACTTAGCTCTACCAAAAGAACAGCTCTATTTGCTATTATCAGCTGAATCTCTACCAGGGCTTTCCTACTAAAAGTCTACCAGCAAAGTATTTTAGAGAATAAGCTAGCTGGTTTTTTGTGTGTTTTGATTTACAAATGATAGCTTTTCCATTTCTCTATGGTTTTTCATCATTATTTGTGTGTTTCAGGGGATCGCTGTATTGCAACCAGTGCTCTGAAGTTGTCATTTCACCAGTTTTGAAAATGCAGCTGGAAGTCTTCTTGAGTTGTCCATCCCGATCTCAAAGTACAGTAAAAGTAAAGGTATGGCAAGAAGTGGGCTTCGGTGTATTGGTTACAGTGAGGATAGGTATGTAGACACATAGGTACTGTAAGCCACACTTTTATAAACAGCTCTGTCAGAAGAAAAATTGAAAGATGTAAGAGTATCCCGTAATTTAATCTGATACTAAACTTGTGTTTCATTGGACTAAGAACCCAGTTCCCAGATCTTACTCAAATAATACAGTCATTGAGTTCACCCTGAGGTTTGCAAACTGTTTTATTGTCCAGCTGAAGGGCTTTGGTGGGTTGGGCCTTGGGAAACCTCAGTCTCCACAGCCTAAAAGGAACACGTATTTTTAGACTCCCAGTACGAACATCTTGTGTGTCACCTTTCCTCTGCTTTCTTGGCCAGAGAAATGAAACCATTCTATATTAAAATGAAAATCTTTGTTCAATGTGACTGTTTTAACCTGCGAACAGAACATCTTTGCATACATAAGATTTTTGTCATGAACAAAACCTGTTAATTTTCTCATTCCAGCTGTTACAAAGGACAATCTCTTCTCTCCTGATGTCCTCCGCCAGTGAGGATGGGGTAGGTATAATGAATGTTGACAAAAAAAAGTTAAACTACGTAGCTTGCTGTAGAGGCGGAGTAAAGGAGACGTGAATCAGGTGGGAAGATACTCGAATCATTGAAACGGAAGGGACTCCTGGAGGTCATCGTCCGACCTGCCACTCACACTGGGCTATTGCCAAAGCACGGGCAGGTCAGCCATGACTTTGGCTAGCAGGGTCTTGAAAGCCTCCAGGATGGAGATTCTGCCTTTCCAGGCAGCTCGTTTCAGAACTGCACTAGGAGCAGTAGGAGAATTCCCTAGAAATAATGATTTTTTTTCTCCTGTCCAGCCTGGGATTTGAGTGGGCTGCACCCTTTGGCCAGCCCTCCTTCCACCTGCTGATGCCCTGCTATTGCGTGACTCTCATCAGGCTGACGCCCTCCTTTTTAGAAGAGGGACGCCGCAGATGGGACGTGCAGACAGCTTTAGCTCAGCTGCGGATCTGCAGAGCTATCTGTAAATAGCACTATGTGCAGACATTCAGAGCTGCGACGAGCAGTGCTGGGCTTTACTCCATTTTCTGGCTGAGGATCCAAAGACAGCAAAGATACAGTCCAAGCATCCCATCTTTTTGGGATGGTCTTCCAAACCCTATAAACCCCAACTACTTTCTAATAGCACAACCATGAAATTACTGGCAGGTGGTAACAGTAGAGAAATTTGCAAAACGCATGCAAGATAATACTTTATAATTGTATGAATGAAACATGCATAAGCCGCGGGGATCCAGGGGCGAAAGTACAGTTTATGTAATTGTGAAGTAGTTATTCCTTTAATCTGAGATAGGAGAAGAACCCTGACATTTGGGACGGTGCCCAGATTTATTGCGGGTGAGGGAGGCACCCGGCTCGGTGCCGGGCTGGCATTGGCTGCGGGATGGTCAGCAGCGAAGGAGCGTCACCTTCAGAGGGTGATTAAGCCCAATTAGGATCCCGAGATGCCTCCCCTCTCCATTGCATGTGGAAGGGAGCAAAGGTCAGCTCGTTGTCTGGTTTAATCATCCCAGTTAAGTGTCTTCAGTTAGGCGACGTGTCTTGGGGTCATTTTGCTCTCCTTATCTTACACAGTCTCCTAGCATTTTGCTGTTATGTGCTCCATGGTTTTAATGGGATTGATGGATAATTTTTCAAGTGGAACATTTCTCTGAAATTGTAAATGTTTTCTCTTATGCTGGAGGGTGTATGTTTCATTTAAGCAAAGAGCTAAAAGAAATTTCCAAAATGTGTTTGCTCTTTTAATAGCAGTTAAGTCTTGCTAAGTTTTCCAGTATGTGTCTGTTTTGGTTACAGACTGACAAAACGTAGTTCTTTTTCGAGTTACTAGAATTCAAACAACCTCTTTTTCTTGTTTCAATTTTTATAATGCTAGTATTTAGAAGTCTGGCAACTTAGAAACATTTTTTTCCCTAGTTGAAATGCAGGGATAATTTTTTCCTTTTTTTTTTTTCATAAGCTTTTCCATCTTTGAACCGCTGCATTTTAGAAAGCAGCACATCTCAACAAAGATTAAGCACAAGAAATACCACTTGAGGTGGCATTTTTTTGCCAGTGCTGCTAAAGTTTCTAAGAGTATAGCTTTGTAATCACTTCTTTTGGCAGGGGGGTTGGTTTTAGCCGTTGCTGGCCCTGGCCACTTTTTCCTTACCTTGTGGCAGCCCTTCTTGTTACACCAGTATAGCTGTTTGTGCAGCTGCACGGTGAATTGGACTGCAGAACCGGTCTGGGGTAAAAATAATCTAGGAAAAAAAAACGACGGGGTGGTTTATACCTTGAACCAGGCAGCAGACGTGGGTATCGCATACCTGTACAAACGCACAGCCCAGATGAAAGCGGGGGGCATGGTCAGAGGCTGCTCGTAGGCACGTCCCACTGAGGAAGGAAATGGATGTAAACCTGCCGTCCGAGATAGATACCCTCTCAAGCGAGGTATCGGCCATCGGCCTTACCAGTTCTTCTGTTAACGTGCTGTCTCCTCTTAGAGAATCATCGCAGCCTCACACCCCTCTCCTCCACGCAGAATACAGTGTCTGCGAATTCGCTCAGGCACAACTCGTGGGATCATTAAACAGAAGGGAGTGTGTAGGTGCTGGTGATCGTAAAGGGTGCACGATAAACGCAAAGTTAAAGGCGGGGGGGGGGCATGAAAAGACTTACAAAATCATTTTTCCTTTAGTGGATCTGCTCGTTAGCTAAGGTATTTGATATATAGTATGTATATACACATCGCTAGCACGTGTGAAATCCTACGAGTGTCAGAAAGCTAGACCAAGGGAGCGCACGTAGGTTGTGCTTCAGCAAAATTGAGTTCAAAGTCAGAGCAGCTTCTTGTTTTTAAACGGCTCATTTTTAAAAGCCTGGTAGGGAAGCAGCACTTTAAGCAGGAGTGAGATCTAATTATCGAAAATGCCGTGTATTCATTCCTTCCATCAATTCTAATGCACCTTTCTTTTTGAGTCCTTAAAAAAAAATTGTCTGTTGGAAGAGGACCTTACCCCCGGCATCTTCACGGCCGAATGCTGCTTAGAACAGAATGTCCAGGACTGTTTGTTTTAATCAACATGCTTTTATCACTGCAGAGTTATGAGGTGCAGAGCGTGCTGGGAAAGGAGGTGGGGTTATTGAACTGCTTCGTCCACTCCGTAACCAGCCACCCCAACTGCGTTGCACTGGAGGAAATTGTTCTTCTGGAAGCAGCAGCAAGACACTGAGCTGAACTCCAGTCAGCTACTACACTATCTGTGGACTTTGTAATGTGGTTATCTGTTAACTAGTGCCACAGATAATGTATAATGCAAGTGTGATAAGTGTTAAGATCATTTATTAAAACCGTGATTTACAAAGCACATTGTGCTAACGCTGAAAAAAAACCCCCAACCTGTATTAAAAAAAAAATCTGTTCAACTTTCTGAACTCTTCTTTTTTGGATCAGTTCAGAATCTAAGAATACAGTTCTCTGGCGCGTTTGCTGTTTGTGTACGTAAAACGTCTTGTTCTGGAAGTTTTGAACGCTTGTGAATATTTTTTTTATAATACTGTATTTATTACATGGCGATGGAAAATATTTTACTGATACTAGTGAAATAAATACCTTGCTATAGGCGGTGAACATTGGTCTAAGCTGAGTTTTATCAGCGGATTCCGGACGTACCGCCAGCCGCAAAACACCGCGTTGCGCGCGAATTCTGAGTTGTAACGTTCGTGATCACCTCGCAATAAATGTTATAAAGACGTAGATTTGACCGAAGCTTGTGTTTTGAAGTGTCGAGCATGTACGAAGTTAACGTTTTATGGCTAATTGGTCTCTAAGCATAGAAGTGCCGTGTTACCTGTAGCTTCCCACAAAGCGGGTGTTCCCTTACGTAGTTTCTGTTATGGGTAACGAGCAAACTGCTTTGTAGGCCACCCAACTATGCTCACCATGACTGTACAGGGACATGGATAACAGATCAGAAAAATAATATCAAAATCTTCCTGTGTGTGCATTGTTTGAGGTGCAAGAATTAATGTAAGCGTTCGGTCAGAGATTAGATTTTTCTTTTTTTTTCCCCCCTTCCACTTTCACGGTATTTAAAAAACCCCATACAGGTCAGAGGAGGAGGAATGAATGGTTTTGCGCAGGTCCGGTGTGCGATTACCCAGCAGAAAAGGAACAGCAAACTTGTTGCTAATACCGATCGTTCCTGCAGCTGAGGCCGACGGTGGAAAGTCTTATACACGTCACGATTACTGAAGGAGCGAGCCAGCTTTTGAATGCCCCCTTCTTCCCCCTCCGCCGCCTCTTTCAGTCTCTTACCCGCCTCCCTGTAAGGAAAAAGGGGACGTCAGCCCATTCCTGCGTAGAGGACGCGGCCCTGTGTGCGACCAGGGTGGCCCCTTGGAAGCCCGCGAGCTCGCCCTCCCTCGAAAAGCACTGGCTGCTGGCGGTGCCTGTCCTCCCAGGCCATTTTTCCGCCAGCGCCCTACAGGTGCTGTCACCTTTGTGCGTGCACTGTCAAAATTCAGCCGAGTTGCCCAACCTTTCATAATACCACGCTCGCTCAGAGCTCGGCGGTGTCGCCTGCTCTCACTTTCACTAGCAGTGGTCAGTGAAAGTGGCCGGCTCCCGCCCGGCCAGAGCCCACAGCGGGCTGGGGCGCGGGTGGGCAACACGCGGCTGGCTCCAACGCAGTTCACGCTTCGCACTGTCCCGCGTGCAAACCGCTTCGAGCGGGTTGGTTTGTTTTTTTTTTTTTTTTAACAACAAGGAATTTTACATAACGGTGTTTTTGTGTTAAT